TGTTGTGACCCCTTAATTACTTAACAATGTCTTTATAACAGAAAAGTTACTGGTGGTTTTCCAGAACTTTCCTCCAAAGTTGACACTCATGTCCCCTTTCATGATCTTGAGCCTCTTTAAATCCTAAGTTCTTCAGAAGCCCCAAGTCCACAGAATCATGTTTTCTCTACAGGTCAGACTTTGAACTTCTGCTTTCTGGATTTCTCTTCATTTCCAGGGAATCAGAAAGGATGTTGATTCAGCCTCCCAAACACTCCCCACTGGGCTGGCCTCTGTGGTCTCCTGAGGAGTCAGATACAGGGAGGGAAACCTGACTCCAAGTGCGGCTGGGAGGTGGGTCATGGCTGAACAGTCCCTGTTCTCCTCTAATGCCCATTTTATTTCGCGCAGGGTTTGTAGATGAGATTCTCCCTCCCCTATGATTCCTTGTAACGTGAAGTAAGTTGTGTGTCCTGTTCCCTTTGAGGAGGCTCCAAATAAAATTGCCAACTAACAGGGGTAGGAGTCTTCCCTGAGGATGGAAGACTGTTATTGGGCAGGGAGTGGGCAGTGGTCAAGGCCCCAGTGTGGGAAGATGTGGCTGTCGGGACACCCTAGTGTTTGGTCTCAGACATGGTGGACCTAGAACCAGGCAGCAGGGGGCGCTGTGGAGAACCAGACACCTGACTGATCTTTGCACAGAAACCCTGAGAGCAAGAGCTGGGACTTCTAGGGTCCTCTGGGAAGCCTCATGCCAAGCCCAGCCCAAGCCCCTCTCAGAAATGACACTCAGCCACTAGGGCTGCACTTGGGACCACCGAGGTTTGGAAGGGCAGCGAAAGAGCAGCACATTTGCATGCAGGGCCCTTCTCTCTCCTCTGGGGTGGGAGTAGGCCTAAGAGGCACCTACAGCTTGTCTGTCTCAGTAGAGCTCTGGGGTGTCTGCACCATGGCCTGGACCCCACTCCTCCTCTTCATCATCCTCCTTCACTGCACAGGTCAGGACAGTCCTCAGCACCCTGAACCCCTAGCCCACTTCCCACACTCATACCAGGACTGTCCTTACACCCTGTCCTTCCTCCAGGGCATAATGGGTGTCTGTGTTTCCAGGGTCCCTCTCCCAGGCTGTGCTGACTCAGCAGCGCTTTGCATCGGCCTCCCTGGGAGCCTGGGTCAAGCTCACCTGCACCCTGAGCCCTGGGTATAGGTACAACACCACTGGATGGCACCAGCAGCAGCCAGGGAAGGCCCCTTGGTACTTAATGTATGTTAACAGTGATGGAACCAGCATCAATGGGGATGGGATTCCTGACTGCTTCTCAGGCTCCGGCTCTGGGGCTGACCGCTACTTAACCATCTCCAACCTCCAGTCTGAGGATGAGGCTGATTATTACTGTCAGTCCTATGACAGCAGTGGTATTCTTCACAGTGACACAGGCAGATGAAGTGGGACAAAAACCTCAACCTGCTCTAGAGCTTTCTCTATGACAATTTTCAAATTTCTAAATATGCTCCATATGCACAAATTCTACTTGGGAG